TATGAATCAAGTACCCGGTATGGCATTCGTCAGACACGATCCATCATCGCTGGCCACGCCTATCATAGTACTTTCGGGGTTCGTGAAGTTTCCTTTTTCAAGCAAGGTGCTTGGCCAATCTGAGAAAATATAAGAAACTTTCAATCATGTCATCAATTTTGAATAAGACTTCTGTCAACTGGTACAACATAAGAAATTAAAGGATCATCATATCTATTGAAAGACTTGATCATATTTACCCTGTGAGCAGAGTGTATTTCCTTACCTCAATAAAAATTCGCGAATTCGAAACTCTGCTCGCAGGGTAGATCATATTGAATCATCTTAACGAATACAGTCTACAAATTGTAGTTTTCCAACACCAAGAGCGAAACTCTTTGTTAAACAAGTGCTGARGCACCGATGGTAAGACTGATTTAAACTAAAACAGCAAGCAATACTGAATCATAGGATAAGAGTACCTGGGATGAATTCTCCATCCAGAAGAGGAAACATCAAAATCCGATATGGTATACTATACAAGACACTAGGTTTGACAACCTTTAGACAATCAATCAAMTTAGTRCCGTTKTTACACTTCAAATTCTTGYGRTTGTAAGAGTGCCTGTAAAATAAAGTACAACATTCGAAGTGAGAAGATTAAACAATAGGTCATTTCACGGATGACTTTACCCGCCGTTCAAATTTTAAGAGTTAGTGAAAAATCATTACGACCGTCATGATGAAGAGAACAAATTAGTACATTTACAAAGTTTGAAATTAATCAGTTAAAAATTCGAGAAAATAGAGATTCTCAGATTAACAAATTAAAAATATTTGAAGTTAAATTTTTAAAATTTCAACAAGTTAAAGTCTTGTTAGTCGGGCTAGCCGAAGGCGGCCTGACTTTAGTTTTACCTTTTAGTCAATCTATCTATGTGTCATGTCGCGTTTGGACCACCGGAAGTTAAGAATTTAATAATTAACAATTGGGTTGGCTGTGTTATTACATTACCGGAATTTCAATCAATCTCAATCATGTAGACGTACGAATAAAATGACAAAAAAACTATTCGTTTACAGATGTGGTATCTGTGATCTCATCGGAATGCATCAGTCTAGGCATCATTAGTACGCGTATGTGCAGATCGCTTGGTACTTCGAGTAGTATGCTTAAGAAACTAAATCAATGGCCTTTTTAGCGTTAGGCAGTGTTGTGTGGGCAAAGAATTCTAATTAGAACAACAAGAACCATATTTTATCAATAACAAAAGGCGAGTTTAATGATTTTATAGGTATCATTTACTTTGTAAAGTATTTTCTTGGCCTGAGAGGTCTATATACCAGGTTTGATTTTATCAGTCAAAGCAATGGCTCTTTTAAAACGCTCATTTTTGTATTAATTACATGACCTTTTAGGTCAAGTTTATTTTAGTCTCAAGAGAGTTTGGATATTTTTCATGAACTAGACGCTCTTATTAGACCTTATTAGACCGTGAGTTCGGCTATTTTGGAGAAAAAATAAGAAATATATATATTAATCTAATTTTTATATTTTATGTAATATCCTCTTGTCTTTCTCAAGTTTCATTTACATTCATAATATAATCATACGATTAGGAAGAATATAACATCATAATCTTTTCACTCTCGTGTCTATCAATTTTCAAAAATAGCTAGTCCGACTTCACGCCCCACGGGCGTCTAGTTCATAGATAGACAGAGAAGAGGCGATAGTAAGGATGATCAAGCCACAAACTTTCAACTCACTYCAACAGTTTAAGATTGTCTACATAGAGTTCATGGGCCATTGGTGAATTTCCTACCCCGGACTGCATAATCGCGTATTTAAAAAGGTTGCGGGACAATGGTGACAAACAGAGAAAAGACACACTAATACCCCCAGCAGAGTTACCAAATATTGTCACCCGATTTGGATCACCTCCGAATCTGAAACACAAAAGCGATAGATAGAAATTAGATCACTACAGTCTGCGTTTTCCAAAATTATTTCAAACCTAACTTGCATAAAAACTTGGGACAAGAATATCATGATTACTTGTTGTGTGGGAAATTGATCCAGTAATACCAAATAACTTACGCTGCAATGTTTCGATTCACCCACTTTAAGGCTTCCAGCTGGTCAAAAAGGCCATAGTTGCCTTTTAAACCTCTTGGTCTGTAATGAAAAAAGCCCAATATATCTAGCCGRTAATTGATTGCAACAACAATAACATCTCCTAATGTTGCCAAATAACTGCCATCAGCTATTCTGTTTGAGTTGACTAAAAATGAACCTCCATGAATCCAAAACATCACAGCTCTTTTGSTGTCACATGGGGCGGCAGGAACATACACGTTGAGGTTTAAACAATCTTCATCCATATCTTTGATTTTTGGTTTGAAAGGACTGGCCTTTCTGCCAGACTGCCAACAAATTTTCCCAAACGTTTTCATCTCCTTAACACCTTTCCATGATTCTCTTACAGGGCGAGGTCTCTCAAAACGTTCTGCACGAGCGTAACGAATGCCGAGGTATTTGTGAACAACATGGTTGTTTTTTAAAGTTTCTGCAAACCCTTGGATTTTACCCCCTTCAATTGYAATAGGATCTGGCTTGGTCGCTAAGACATTGTGGAGAATAGCACAGAAGAGTATCAGTGCCCACATTTCTATGGTAGTGATGGGTGCTAGAGTGATACTGTAATATATAGCGAACAAAGACTATTAGATTTCACACTGACTTGATCTATTCCCGCTGTAAAAACAAGGTCATGTATTCATGTTGTATATCATTTTGTGGTAACGATCGGTGGTTCATTGAGCTGCAGAAATTCTAATTATGTATACTATAGGTAAATTCATTGTGTGACGAGTGAATTCCGCGTTGAATTCACGAGTAAAGCCGATATCGCACGAGTCATCCAATGAATTTACCTTGAATCTCATGCCTCAATTTTAAAGGAGAAAAAAATTATAAAAACAATAACAAAAAAAGGTATTGAAGCGATCGCTCGTGAGTTCAGTGCGAGAATTTCATTTTCAGTTTTTTTTTGCCATTTTAGCTAAATAAATATTACTTTTTAATAACTAAAACAAACAAATTTTTAGCACTCGAATGGCTTTTCAGTATTTTTACTGACAAGCTCAAACCGGTTTTTCAGAGCGAGTTGCAACGTCAACGATCATCGGCGGACGGCAAACTTGCAGACAGACTAGGGCCACAAATCCTAAGATTTCTACAGTTTTCCACTCTTATCTCGATTAGAAATATCATCTATGAATAAAAGACTTCGAAAGGTTGTTACTGAAAAATTGAAAACAAGTTTAAAGTCATATTTTGAGTCTTATTTGGACGAACGAAACTCGTCGAAATCAGTAGTAGCCCTGACTTGCCAAGCAGACTTCAAAACCTTCTTCATGTTTACTTGTGAAAGAAAGCGTACTAGTAGACATTCTCAATCAAAAAGTAGCTGAAAAACTCAAACACAGAAACATTTCATAAATTCATCCCATAACTTGTTCTGGCATGGAATATTCAAGAAAAAATGACAAGCGAAACAGCTTTAGTTTTCTGCAAGAAACGGCGTGCAAGAAACGGCGAAGGCCGCTCAATTTTTGTTTACGTAGATGAACTGATTTTGACAAACTTTAAAATGTATTACACTACCATGCAGGTATTTAATAAATAGTATTTTAATAATTGTGACGTTATATTTATGAGTTTTGGGGTATTTTTTCGTTTGAAACGTTGCTTTTATATCGAGTTAAACTTAACTAACATAAATGTGTTTTTGTTTTTGCTACTTAATTTGCAAAAAATCAAAATATTTTGCTTCTTGAAATCTAGAGAAAGTGAATAGACAAGTTGTTGGGAACTAAAACAATTAGATAATAACTTTTGCCAGCGTTTTACACGGATTTTGTGAGTAAATTGTTGAAATAACGCAAGTGTTTTAAGGTAGCTTATCGGGGCGTTGAATTCAGGTTTCTCAGCGTTGAATTCAGGTTTCTCACCGTTGAATTCCACTTGAAATACCCTCTCATCMGGTTGACGTGTTGACCAATCAACGCACGACTTCAAAATTGAGGTATGAGATTCTATCTAATATATATAGTATTTCAATACTTTTGTTAAAACTTTGTTTATCAGTACTACCTAAAACAAAACGTCTCTGATGCTCATTTATAGCAAATTACTACTCACTTTATGCGGGAATAAAACAGTCACACCTATAAATGAACGCGATAAACGAACACTTATATTGTAACGGAAGCAGTACTGTCTTAATGGCTTGTGTTCAGAATATCTGCACTTGATAACGCACCCTGCGTTTCTGACTATTGTGAGATTTAAATCATATTTGAACAGGATCGCATCATATATGTACCTGTAGCAACAATACACCAACCATTAACCATTCCACGCCCTGTCTGTATATAACATTAGAACTAATGTTCCATGATATCAGACAAGAACACATCAAAAACTGGTATTTGAAGATCTCATA